TTTTGCATGCAACAAATTAAGAGAGCAGCTGCAATGTTACTCACCTCCTGCAAAAGTTTCTGTCGAGCCTCGGATTCCTTGCGCCACTCTTCTTCCCGTTTAGACCATAACCTGGCTGCCTCATGACTGAAATGGAATGGAGAATGATCAGTAATTGCAAACAAGATATAGAACCGATGCAATGCTAACGATTCATTTCCAGGGCCACTTATATTTCACCGTTATCCATGTTTTACCCAACTTACAGTGGTAAATATGTGCAACCGGTTAACTGATAACCGTAAAACTGATCATAATTCATTATCACAGTGTTAAAGGCAACCACTTTGTTGAGATTCGTACAATGCTTTTCATAGTTTTATATGTCGACCAGTTGTGCAAATTTCATCAACAAGATTGAAAATCCTCATAGCTACTGCAGAAACTTGGGAGTAATAGAGAATTAAATACATACAAAATTAAAGTTTCGGCACCGCAATGAAAAGTGTGATGACTTCTTTTGAAGAGTAAATGAACGAAAAAATGAAAGAGTGAAATTTTATTCATCATGATAACGTTTCATCTATGGAAGAATCTTTAGGAGTAAATCGACAAACTTTCACCCAAACTACCAAATAATAACGCCAAAAACAGAACACACTCAGATGGCCATGAGGATCAAGCAGTCACTTTCATTATCACACTAAGTCGGAGATAGCGAGTTCAAATTCTTCATCCTCCAACATTTTTATGGCACTGCCTGGTCACTTCAGAGTGTATGGTAGAACTGATGTACTGAGGATTGTGCGTGAAGGTGAAGTCCGAAGGATAGTCGGTTCAAATCAATTAACTACAAACAATCTCTTTCTGGCAGTTTATGGTTTAATTCCGTTCAACAGGGAGCAATTGATTAGTTTCGAATCAACCAATGATCTACCCAGTGATTTAAAAAGAATTCCTGATAGAATAGTTTTTTGTGTGGTATAATGATCACCGCTTCATTGCATCTACGCTACTGTGTAGTGAAAACAGCGCTTAATATTTAGTTTATACCTCTACACAAACTTCATTTTACTGTGTCGACAAATCAGACGTTTAAACCCAAATTGTAAACGACGCAAAACGGTCACTCACGATTGTAAAGCGTCTAGTTCTATTTCTTGTTTTCTCTCCAAATCCAATTCCGATTGAATACGTTCACGCATCGTGGCCAGACTATCACGTTCCTGTTCGCGTTTGCTGATGCGTTTTTGGTCCTCTATTTGGTTTTGTTCGCTCAGTTGAGACAACCATTTCAAATCGGCTTCTAGCTCAGCCTGAACCTCGGCAGAACGCCTGCGAAGCGCGGCTTGATGTTGTCTTAGCAGCGCCTTTCCATGAAGTTCACGTTTGCATTTCTCTTCAATGGATTTTCGCTCTCTATCCAAACACTCTAATTTGTTAAGTTCATATGCTAATTTCATTTCCTCTTTTTCAAGCTCTTTTGCCTTTGAACAAAAAATACGGGTTTTCAGAGGGGTAAATTTGAAACAGAACTACATTGAACTGCAAAGGTTGCAAGCAAAAACGTTGAAAGGTCTATACAACAATACATACATACAAATATTAGGGCTATACTCGTCTCAGTACCGTCGATTTCGGGGGACTTAATCTTGGCACACTGAATACTGCATCAACCCAACCACCTTTGCTGTTCTGTGTTGACCCAATTTCAACATAATCATCTTAGAGAACATCTACTGGAGTTGAGGACCCAGAACAGTCGCGTAAATTGCACTTATGGTGCGCAACATATGGAATTCTCTTCCATTCTGTGCTGTGTGTGCTCCAACAATTAAATTATTCAAATCAAAACTTGATAAAGCATGGGAACACCCTAAATTTCAGCACCAGTGAGCGGTCGTACATATTACTAGTATTTTCTAGTTGTAAATTTGTCCAAAACATTCTGTAAAAGTACTGTGGGGCATGACAAGCGTTAGCTCTCCTAAATCGCCCATAATGAATGTATGATTTTTCAAACCTGGAGTCAACCGCAACACCCGTTTACTCTCATGGTAAATCACTGCACCTCACCAAAAAAGAGAAATCCAAATTTCTTGATAGAACTGCACAATCGAAAATGCAAAACGGGGTTTGATTTTCACTGAGCAAACTCAAAACGGAATGCAGTCAGTCTACTAAGATAAGGTTAATAACGAATAAGCACTTTGGCACAATTACTAATTTTGGGGGTAAGGGGTAATTTAAAGCTTAAAATGTTACAAAAATGATCAAGGTTCCATTTTCATTTGACAACAAGAAACTACGCTGGCCACTCTTCCGGTTAAGGAGAAATTAAATAGATAAAACGCATAAATATAATGTGCGCACGGTTATGCAGCATTAAATTTCAAAAAAACTTGATAAGATAGATTACGCAGGTCGTTTGGACGCAAAACTCGCCAGGTTTTTGAAAATCGGGTCTGTGAAATATAGTGCGGCAAGAGGTAAAGGAAGATTTTTTATTCAGTCTTATATTGACATAAACAGTTACCACTAAACCTATAAAACGAAGTACTAATACAGCAAATAAAACCGGCATCCCTGTAAACACTTGGCCAATTCTTTCCAACACAATACAAATTTGGGAGAAAATCAAGCTGTACGTGGACAGAGAAACAAATCATGACCTCAGGGCCAGTTTATGTATAGTTACCTCGTCCTCGCGCTGGCGTATCTCATCCAGTTGACGTTGCAAACTGCTCAGATATTCTCGCTTTGCTTCTAACTGACGCATTCTCATCTCTTCTGATTCCAAATTTCTCTGATGCAACCGTTCTGCTTCATCGGCTTGGGCTTCGAGTTCTCGCATGTTTTCCATTTCTTGATTCTGAAAATAACATTCCAATGTATCCCTTTGAAATTGAGAGAATACAAAAACGTGTTGGAGGAAGCTAAATTGCATTAAAATTTGCGCGCTATTATTACTACTACTCTAAAACCGACAAATATCAGGATGCATTTTTTGAGAATACCTAAACCATAAAACCAGACAGACGGAGGTTTATATGATGTTATAGACCCCGAATTCTTAACCAGAGACAAAAATATGAAACTCTACAGCTGCTCTATGCACCCTTTTGTTAACTTTTGACATACTCCTAACCGTAGCATCAAGATTTTGCCTTCGAAAATCCATAAATAACCTAACGTACTGTGATCGAAGAAAAGAAACTTTGCATTCGCACTGACTTACTTCCATAATGATTGAATTATTCTCTAATCGGTGGCTATTTTAGGAAGTTCGCGCTCCACTTTGGTTAACCAGTTCAATCGTTAAGACCATTAACTATGTACCTTCGTGCACTGGCTACAGTTGCATTCTTTTGGTTGCATCATCATCATCAATATCATCGTACAGCGAGATCGCTGCCAAGCTCAAAATGTACACAAATCAAATGATAAAGCACAAGATGGAGACGGATTGGGCCTACTTGGAGGGAGGCAAAGAAAAAGAACCTCTATGTTCAACACACAGAGCACAAAATCTAAGTGTCCATGCATACCTTTTTTTCAAGCATTCTGCCTTGTTAAGAAATGACAAAAAGAGCGCCACTGCAGTCCGTTAGTCGCCATATCTTGCAGTGTCTCCAAACAACCAGTTGCAGTCTTTTGGACCCCAACCTGGAAGACGAGAGACACCGATTCTACCTAATCGCTCTGTGCATTTCTTCATGCCTCGCTTCCACGTCATCTGTTGACCACCACGCGGTTTCTTCCAACCTGGAGTCGCAACTGCGAATAAGGCGCGGTGCGGCAGACGATGGATGGACATGCGCAATACGTGTCCTAACCAGCGAAACCGACTAATCTGAATTCGATGGGACAACGAATTCTGCAGCGGATCATTACCAAATACGCGACGCCTCACCTCAGAGTTGCTTACAAGCTCGCTCCATCCAACCCGAGTCGAACCACGTAAACATCTGCAGTCGATTACTTCAAGACGACGAATATCTTCCATACGCAAATTTAGGGTTTCGCAACCATAGAGCAGAAATGGCAGCACACTGGCGCAGTATACACGACCTTTCAGTTTCAACGAAACATCGCGTCTACACCAAAGGTGTTTCAATCCTCCGTAAGTTGCTCGGGCCTTGGAAATGCGGGCGGTTACTTCATTGACTATGCCACCGTCATTTGAAACGCATCTACCTAAGTAGGTGAAACACTTCGCTACAGTTAATTCTTGACCATCAAGCATCAGCTCTGGGGTAGACGACACCCAGTCTTGCAGCATCACTTTGCACTTTGAAGGTGCAAAGCGCATGCCGAAAGGAGATACAGAACTTGCTAGTCTGTCAAGAGAGCATTGTGCAGCCTCCATAGATTCGAACAGGCATGCGATGTCATCAGCGTACTCTAAATCGCACAGCTTTTCTCCAGCTGTCCATTCAATACCTACGTCCTGAAGACCAGTAAGTGCGTTCTCCAATACTTTGTCTACGACGAAATTGAACAGGAATGGCGAAACAGGGCACCCTTGATGGACACCGCTCCTGGTTTCGAACGATTTAAGCCTCCATAGATTCGAACAGGCATGCGATGTCATCAGCGTACTCTAAATCGCACAGCTTTT